ATCTCAAACCGAAGACTGTTTGTTACGATCAGTTAAAATTTATGTACAAGTGTTTGGAAAAAAACTGTAATTGTTCTTTTCGATATAATGTGGGATTGAAAAATCATTTATCTGAGGTGCATAACAAAAGGATTGAAAGTGAGGAGATGGAATTTTCAAACAAAGAAGGTAAACTTGGTAAACATAATATAGGTTTGAAGTTTTGACCTTTTTATTTTTTAGAATTCCTTGTCTGGAAAAAATCCATAGAGAAAATAAACAAGTGCAATTATGTTTCTTCCTACACATCAAAGTTTAAGAACAGGCCTGTTAAATATTACTTATGTAATAGATCTGGTAAGCAAATACCTTCATTTAATTACAATTAAATTTGGAGAAATAGGATTTCTCTGGCGCACCGCCATGTGTTTTATAAAAAGAATGATGTATTAGGTATTCTTCACTTAAAAACTTCTGTTTGTTCTCAGGAAAAGTCCAAACCAAAAGCTTGAATAAAAGACTCCCCAAAAGTCAAGGATCATGCAAGTTAAACCGATATTGCATGAGCATGATTAAGGTAATCGAAGGAGAAACATTATTAATGACATGGATTAAAACACACTATGGTCATGCACCTGACTTACAACATATAAGGCTTCCACAGATAGATAAATCAATAGTAGCATCTAAACTTACATTGGGAGTACCACCATCGAGGTAAGTATATATACTAAATTTCCTAAAACCATTCACCATTAATAATTATTTTTAGGATTTTAGATTCATACCGTGACAAAATAAACGAGGAACAACTAAGTCGTGAAGATTTAATAACACGGAAGGATATTCAAAATATTAAAAAAGCCTATCATATTAATATCTCAGAGGGAGTTAAACATGATAATGATGCAATTTCAGTCGATTTATGGGTAAATCAGTGTAAGAAAGAAGAAAATAGTTGTATACTGTTTTATAAACAACAGGGTGTGGAAGATGACAGTAACAAGTTGTGTAGTGTAGATTTTTGTTTAATTTTAATGACAGATTTTCAAAAAAACATGATCAAGAAATTTGGGAAAAATATAGTAGCATTAGATGGGACTCATGGCTTAAATAATTACGATTTCGAGCTGACTACTATTATGGTTGTAGATGAATTTGGGGAAGGGGTACCAGTTTCTTTTATGTTCAGTAATAGAAAGGACACATACATTTACGAACTTTTTTTTGGTGTGGTTAAATCAAATGTTCGATTAGTATCTGCCAAAGTATTTATGAAGGACATTGTTTCCACTTTTTACAGTGCTTGGTGCAATACAATGGGGCCAGTCATGCATCAGTTATTTTGCTCCTGGCATATTGACCGTGCATGGCAGGAAAACTTACCAAAAATAAGCAATAAAGAAAAACAATCAGAGGTTTATAAAGTAATAAAATGCTTGCAGCAGAATACTAGTGCATATATATTTCCTCAATGTCTTCAAAATTCCATTTCAGAAATGCTTTTAGATGGTGAAACCCATGACTTTGGGGTGTATTTTCAAAATAATTACAGTAAAAATTATGAAAAGTGGGCATACTGTTTTAGGGCATGTTGTGGAATAAACACAAATATGCGATTAGAATCCATGCATAAAACAATCAAGTACTTTTACTTAGATGGAAAAAAAGTTAAAAGATTAGACAAAAGTTTGCATGTGCTCCTAAAATACGTTAGAGATAAGTCTGTTGATAGAATTATCAAAAACGTTAAAGGTAAGCACACTATTCACACTAAAAATATTTTATTAAGGCATAGAGCTGCTCTGTCTAGTGAATTTTTTATTGAGTTTGACAAAGATAATAAAACCAGGTGTTTAATTAGTACTGTGTCTGCCAAACAAGAAACTGGAGAAATATATTGTGTAGAAAAACTTCTAAATGAAAGCTGCTGTGATTTAATGTGTATCGATTGTAAGATTTGTTACCACACATATTCGTGTACCTGCAATGATTTTTGCATTAAAAACTCCATTTGCAAACACATTCATTATGTTGAAATGTCTTATAGTAAAGAAAAGAATATGCCAGAATCAGAAAAAATGGTAGTTGAAGAAAGTGAATGGAATACCAACTCACCAGGAGAGAATGTTAATAAATCCGATATTTTAAAACACAAATTTTCTGCACATATATTAAGTACAATGACGAAGTTGCAAAATATTAATAAATAGTATATTATGCAACGATCATGTAATGATGGTTATTAATACACGAGCATTAACCGGGATACGAAACGAGCCAAAGGCGAGTTTCGTATGGTTTATGCGAGTGTTTTAATAACCATTACATGAGAGTTGCATACGCTATTTTTTCTACACCCGATAAATAATCAAGACCTATAAATATTATATTTATATTGGTATTGAACACAATAACAGTAATTACTCGTATAGATTTTTGCGGTAAAATATTTTGTACTGTATTTTCTGCTTTCTCCGATATGTGTGGAGGAGTCTTCTATATCGCTAATATCAGACATTTTAATATTATAATTATCGAAGTTTAGCTACCCACGAAAATTTAATACGTTTTGACAACTAAAATAATTACATAGGAACCTAGGACAAACGTCAAACAGCATGCTTGATTGAAAAATTGTAGGTTTCTATTGATTAAAAATCTGTATCGTAATGAAAAATCTGTATCATAATGGGTATCATTATGAAACGGATTATGGGCATATAAGTGCATTATTATAATACGGGTGTAGAAAAAGTACTTTAGATGATGAAGTAATTTTACAAATTCAAAGGCATTTGGATATAATTGACAAATTAGTTGTTTAACCTACCAGTTCAAATGAATCATTTATTCCAGTTAACTGCAGTGAATCCACAAATAAAAAAATTAAAAAACAGGACAGATTCTTTTCAACCCATAAAAAGCGGAAAGTTAAAAAGAAGCAGTACAAAAAGCCAACTGTTTTGGAAGCAGCACAGATAAATAAGAATTTAAAAAGTAATTTTAAGCAGTTATATATTTCCTCGAATTCTTCAGTAGATCATAATTATTTATTATAAATTGTTTGTTTTGTTTAATATATACAGGGTGGCCAGTTACTTAGTTTGGCGAAGTCCAATATCACGGTTGTTCCTTTAAATACCTATAATAAAATAAATTATCCAATAAAATGTCCATTTTTTTTTTTACTTACCTTTAGCTTTTGCTCTCACTATATAGTTTTTTATCATATTGTCACTAAATATAAATACAAAATTTCTTTATCTTATCAATTACACCAAAATACAATGTTTTAAAATGTTGAATATAAACTGTAATTTACCAACTATCATATGTAATGTCTTTTTACTTACCTTTATAGCTTTTGCTCTCTAATATTTTTATCATGTCGTCACTACCTGTAAATGCAAAATTTATTTCTTATCTTAATCTTATAAATCTCACCAAAATACCATATTTAAAAATGTTGAATAAGCCATAAGAGTTAATTTACAGAGTATCATACAAATGTAAGGAAAGATTGTTTAAGTTAATTTTTGAAAATATAAAAACTATTTTTAAATAATAAATTTGGCATTGTGGGTTGCAGATATTTTAACAAGCTGTGCTTTTAAATATCTGTCACCTCAATTGTACAAATAGCGTTGCCACGAGTTAAGAGTTCATTTTAAATGTAGGTATACCTATTGTTTTACTGTGCACAAGTGTTTAACACTTAGCATATTTTTTTCTTTATTCATAACAAATATTATATTGTATTTAATTTAATTGCATTATTTATGAATAAACATTATTATTATTATATTATTATTATTAATTTAAAAATACCGCCACACATCCAGCCGTCCAATGAAACGACGAACAGACGCGACCAATGAAAAGTGGAACGTAACTCGAGATTTATCCGCTCGTGATAGCAGTAGCCGTTCGCCATGTTCACAAAATAAAGCATGGTACATATACGAGTACCTATAACACATTATTATATTATAAGCATCGATGCGTTTGAGAAAATTATAAAAATAACTTCTATTAGTGGTAAGGACATTTATTATTTTTTCTGAATAATTTATCTTTAGATAACTAATTTAAATAACCTTAGTAAATTATTTTATAAAAATTTGTTGTTGTCAACGATCGAATGTTGTGCCCAACGATCGAATGTTGTGCCAAGTTCAATTATGTTTTTTTTTGTCTTAATTGTGACATACCTACTTTCTCATTTTTGTTAGTTATCTGACTTAGTCATTTAATATCCAACTCAGTGTAAAGGTGATAAATATCCCCGTTTCAAGGGTATGAACAGTTCAATAGGTATTAATTTTTATTTCATATTTTTCAGGTGTAGTAAAGCCAACTGAGACTGAGGGACTATTATTACTGTTATTTATTACATAATGTAATTATGACTTTGTATCTTTTTAATTAAATAAACAATACATTTTGAATATTTTATTAAGGAAGATTTTTTCTAGGTTATAATTATAATAATTATAAAATACTACTACAAATTTTATTAAAAATTAGTACAATTTGTATGAATTTTTACTATTTATTGTGTAAAATTTTCGTATTTATTTTCATAAAACGCAATACATTTTGAATATAAATTCATACAATGAATGGCAAAAATTATAACAATTTGTAGAACAATTCTTATGATGCATTTGGATATTTTTACTAAATATTGTAGATAATAACTCTACAATACATTCTCTACAAATATTTGGAAATTTTTACTACAAATTGTCCCTGTCCCTATATGTACTATTTATTATAGAGAAAAAATGTATAATTGTAGAAATTTGTTCTACAATTTTTTTTCCGTGCGTGACTTCAGAATCATCCAGAAGCCCGAATAAACTTAACACAACGAGCAATTGATTATAAATAAAATATTTCAAATTAAATAAGACGTATTTAATAATAACAAGAATAATAATAATAATAATAAGAATATAAATAGGTATCTTATAAAGACATACCACTAATTTTACATTATCATCATGGATACTTACTTTTTCCGTACTTAAGTAATAATTACTTTTTTCATCACGACTTTGATTTGAGTCATATTCCTTGAATACCCCTCCTAAAAATAATTAGTAATTAGCCAAGATAAAATTGCATAAATAAAAGTAAATACCAAACACCAATAATAACAACTTCTATTTACTGTGATTAAAACTAAAGTTATTAGTTTAACTTTAATTTGAAACTAAGTTTATAATGCATGATGGCGAATTTAAAAAAGTAACAGGACAAAAAATTCTGAGATCTGTCCTACTACCCTCTTTTGCATGAAGTGAACAAGCTGCTCTTTCGTATTTGAAGTAATTTTAATAGAAACATCTCCGGATTTCTCTTATAAAATATACAAGTTGGGAATCTCAGTTGAAACTTAAAAAAAAAGTCTAAAAGTGAATAAATCAAGAATAAATGATTTTTATACTCGTATTTAGCATAGAAAATAAGAAATTGATTCAAAGATTTAAAGTTGTTTGTTCGTTTTATAAAAAGCTGCATTTTTTAGAATAAAATTCAAGTATACTCTCGAAAATCAGCTTAGATATATTGATATTAACAATAGTGATTTTGTATATAAAAATTAGAAAAATAGCTTCGATATAATTGGATTTGTATTGATACCATTTAAAATATTATAAAATTATATTTAATCGCTTAAGAAATATTCATTTATGTCCAATTCTGAAAATGGGCATTGAACAAAATTATATTATGCATCGTGTTTTTTTTTATAGTTTTATCATTGAAATTTATCCATTCTAGGGTGATTAAATTTGTGAAAATAGGTTTTTGAAAATTAAAATCGTGCAGCTTTGGAATCAGGATCAGTTAAGATGTCTGTAAGAGAATTATCATGTTTTGAAAGATAGTCAGAATTAAAAATAATATTGAACTTTCATTCTAGAGTTATCGTGCCGGTATACATACATACAGACGACCAGACGAAAATTTTTTTTTTGCATTTTCGGACTCCGAATGATCAGAAACATGAAAAAAAGTTTTAAAAAATGGGGGTCAGAAAATTTTTTCGTCTGCACGAATGCAGTAATAGTCCATATAAAAGAATGTTAAAAAAGGTTAAAGTTAGTTAAAATAAAAACAAGTATTTTTGGAAAGAAGATTAGGAAGCAGAGGAGGTGAACAGATAGTTAAGTAGCTTAAAAAAGGCAATTCTGAGAAGAGTAATAGAAATGGAAAAATGAAAAAGTTATCGAGGAAGGTATAGAAGGTAAATAAATTTAACACATAAAAAGATTAGAATTGACAAGAGATCGATAGAGATGAAAACACTAGCCAGAAACAGAAAATAATTGAATAAATAAGTCAAGGAAGAGAACAAAAAATCTCAAGAGAGAGTAAAAAGAAGAAAAACTAAAAACAACCAAAATTGTACAAAAGTTCACGTATTTACCTTCACAAGTTGTATACAAGAACAGCGCACAAAACAAAACAAAACATTTCACTTGCAGCATTTTGAAAATAAGAAGAGACTATCAGTTAACAGTCTATTTCACAAAATTTATACAAGTTCATGAAATAAATATTATTATACTTATCAGCTATTCTCTGTAATTTTTGGAATAACATCTCAACATTTATAAACAATTTTTTACCAAGAACGGGAATTATCTACATTATTTTGATGATAAGTTTTGTTGGAATTTAATACTGGTTATTTGTTGATATATAATTAAATCGCATGATTTTGCGTTTTATGGATATTGGATATATAGAAGATACATTCTAAATTACCATTTTTCTATAGAAGTATAAAAATAACTTATTCCAAATAAATAAAAATAAAAACAAAAATTAAATTAAATTTATTAATTAAGGAATCTGGTCATCAGTGGCGTAGCGTAAGGAGGAAGGTGTTCATGGTTTTATTGTAGTATAGTAACTACTGAAATTTACCTGGAAAAATTTGCGGAAAATCTGATATTTTGTGATTCTACGTATTTTGAGCTGCTTTTTTTGAAGTTTTATTTTGCCACCTCGTATCTTTGCCGCTATCGCCACCATATTGCAATACATTGTAGAAAAACAAATTTTTCAAACTTATGTTCCTTTATAAAGAAAAAAAAAAAAGAAAAATATTTACTAAATATATCAACTTTTAAATTTCAACAATTTAATATGAGTTCGACAAACTACTAAATCTAATTAATTACCTAATGGCTTTAGATAATCCAAAAAACAAATAAGTTGGAGGAAATTAAAGAAAAAGTTTACACCATATATGGATATGCATAACCCAAAATAAATTATTAAATGTATCAAAATATGGCACGGTTCGTCGTTAGCTTGGTACCAGGCATGACGCTTGCGCAAAATATTAATTTCCACCTTACATAAAATATAAAATAATTAATAGTTAACTTAAATCTTGTTCATGACCGCACCTATACTACAACATATATTGTAAAATAAACAATAAACTTATAATCCTTATAAGCTTATAACCCTCTCCAAATTGGAAGGCGATATCTGTTTAACTTTTAGTTAAGACCAAACTACCCGAAAGAAAATTTTTAAACCATGAAATTTTATAATTAAATATAATTCATAGAACTAAATAAAAATATTAAAAAAATAAAAATATAATGAACACATAAAGGACTCCAGACACAGGTTATTTGATTAAATTCCCAGGTTGGAAGAGGTTACTTAATCTCTGCCCTTCATGGGACTTATGAGCCTGCTTAACCTATGGTTAAGTCTTATAATTACCAAAAACAAAAAAAAGAATCTAAAAAAAAGTTAAATATTGACTGTAGCCCTTATGCCCCGAGGTATTTATGGTCAATACCCAGGCCGAGACACTAAGTGCTTAAAAAAAGAAAAAGTTTGAACTAATAAGCAAAAAAAAATATATTTAAACACATAAAAGGACTTGAGACACAGAGGTTATTTGCTTAAACTCCCAGGTTGGAAGAGGTTGAAATTAATCTATGCCCTTCATGGGACTTATGAGTCTGCTTAATCTTAATTAAGACTTATGTTTTATAATAAAGAAATCTAAACAATTGAAATGTTGAACGTAGCCCTTATGTTCCGAGGTATTTATGGTCAATACCCAAGCCGAAACAGTAAGTGCTTAAAAAAAGAAGAAAAAAAAAACAATAGTTTGAAATATTAATTAATTAAACGATGTAATATTTGATAATACATAAGTTATGAGTGAAAGAACCCTAGAACATTCTGTGCTCAAAAGTATAAATAATGTTGAGAATACCTTGACAACATTCGGTTAAAAGTGAATTTATAGTTTAACAATGCACACATGAAACCCTCAATATAACGTATAAACAAAACCTGATAGTAGGGTGTATTCTTTTACAGCATTCCCATCTTCCTATCCAGAACGAAAATCATCCCTGTAAGTCTAGCTACAAGTAAGCTAGGCGGCTAGCATACCAATGTTCTGTGTTCCCTCGATGAGTCCACGATGAAACCGTTGAACTCCGGACGATGTAACCCTCTGTGTACAACTGTTGACATCCTGAGTCGCTACCCCTTGGGTAAAAACTGTTGTCGTATCCTGGGTTAACAACCCCCTGGGTGAAATCCTTTTTTGTAAAGAATTAAATTGGTAGCCTTCCGAGGATGAGAAACACGTGAGATGATCCACAGCACAACAATATTCCACACTCCATGTTGGAGCCTACTCTGCCCTTTCAATTTCATGTTACCATAGATATAGGTAATTTTTTGTCAGTTAAGAAATGTAATGTCATATATTTAAAAATATACAGAAATTCAATTTACATTTTGATTCATTTTCACGTTAAAAGAAAAGTACAAAAAAAACAATACAGTCACAAACACATCCATTTGGTCCTTCCAAGCGCGGATTACAGTCCCATTTAATTACAAAGTATTCATAATTCAACTCCAAGAATTCAGGTTCACCATAAGTCAGTGAATCAGGAATTTTGGATTTTCATTAGTCAGAAATCGCCAGAGCCCACGTTCAAGCAATCTTCAACTGAACTACGTATGCAAGCAGCATTCATCACATTACAGCGTTCTACATAAAGCTATCAAATTTCTGACCATCCATTAAGTACAGGACACCATCAAGATTTGCAGCCGGTCTTTTGGTAAACTTCACAGTCCTCTTAGTCATTATACAAAGAATATTGATTTAATTTGTATTAGGTTTTCAAGGTCTCATACACAATTAATTGCATTTTCTTATTCTTCATTTTTATATTCTTTAATTGCATTCAGTATCTAGATACGTCCATTTTCAGGCTATTCTGAGATGGATCTAAAAAAGTTGCATGCTAATCGTGGTAGCATTAAAACTCGATTAACGATTTTTCAAAATTTTCTCTCAAAATGTCAATCGAATGTTCAAGAAACAGATTTTACAGAGTTTCGTCGTCGTTACAATCGAGTTGAAAATTTAATAAATGAATTTACAGAAATACAAAATCAAATTGATGCTTTGGTTGATACAGTTAACATTCAAACAGAATTTTCAGCTAGGGAAGAATTCGAAAATAGTTTTTATGCAACTCTTTCACATGCACAAAAATTTATGATCTTGAATACTGAGTCTAGTTTTGAAAATAATTCAGTTTCAAACCATAGTCAACCAACCATCAATAATAATGTTCAAAACTATTTCTCAGGTATCAAATTGCCATTGATAAATCTTCCCACATTTTCAGGGGAACCATGCGATTGGCTTCAATTTCAAGATAGCTTCAAGGCATTAATTATTGATAATTCAAACATTTCAAATATTCAAAGATTTCACTATTTAAAATCTGCACTAAGTGGTGAAGCTTTTGAGACTATCGCAAATATTCAACTTACAAATGATAATTTTGTTATAGCTTGGGATTTATTATGTGATCAATACACTGATAAAAGGGCATTATTGCATGAACATGCCAAAGCTTTATATAACATTGATTCAATCAAGAAAGAATCTTCTAAAGCACTTAAACATATTGTTGATCATGTTAAAATGCACTTACGTTCACTAAAGGTTCTTGGTGAGCCAACTGAGTATTGGGATACATTATTAATTTATTACATTACTACAAAGTTAGACCCAACTACAACGAGAGAATGGGAGAACAAATCATTTTCTGATAAACCAACCTTAGAAGATTTATTGTTTTTTTTGAAACAAAAATCCCAAATGTTAAAAAAAATTGAAGATAAACAGTTGGAAACAAATCAGAGTCATTCTTCCAAACATTCTTCCTTTTCAACATCAGTATCTAAAAACAAGTCTCAAAAGGCTTTCCATTCTTCAGTTCGCGTTTGTCAGGCATGCCATTCAAATAATCATAGGTTATTTAATTGTAACAATTTTTTAAAAATGAGCATACCCGAGCGAACAGAATTAGTGAAAATTTCAAAACTATGCATAAACTGTCTGAATTCAGGTCATCAACTTGATCAATGCAATTTCGGTGGTTGTAAAACTTGTTCCGCTAAACACAATACTTTGTTGCATAGTCCTACTCAAAATACAGATAATGTAACATTATGCAGTGTTAATTCAAATTCAAAGCAAGTCTTATTATCCACAATTGTTTGCGAAGTTATGGACAACAAAGGAAATCGCCATGATTGTCGTGCACTTCTCGATTCAGGAAGTCAATCTAATTTCATATGTGCAAATTTTTCTACTGCTTTGGGAATTAAAACACAAGATATCAACATTACGGTTTCTGGTATCACAAAGGTAGAATCTAAAATCAAGACTCAATGTCAAATTCAAATATTTTCCAAACATAACGCATTTTCAACGTCACTTTCATGTCTCATTATGCCATTCATATGTGATTATTTGCCCAATCAGAAGCTAAATACATCTTTAGTATCCATCCCTTCAAATATACAATTAGCAGATCCAGAATTTTATTCTCCAAAGCCCATCAATCTTCTTATAGGAGCCGAGTTATTTTGGTCTATACTTTCCATTGGCCAAATACAGTTGGGTCCCAATTTACCTATCCTTCATAAAACCAAATTCGGTTGGATAATTTCAGGGTCCCTATACAATAACTCTATAGCAAATAAAACTATGGAAAAGAAATCTCATATGTATTGCAACCTTTCAAAAAACATTGAAATGTCATTTCAAGGCGGGGGGCGATATACTGATATTCAAAATCAACTATCCCGTTTTTGGGAAATTGAGGATTGTTCCGAGGATAGATCATATTCAGCAGAAGAAAGGGATTGTGAACAAATTTTCGTTTCAACTCATAAACGTGACTTAAATGGCCGTTTCATTGTTAACATTCCTTTGAAAAGTTCACTAACAAAACTTGGAGATTCCCGCGAGCAAGCTCTCAAACGTTTCTATAATTTAGAGCGTAAACTACAACGTAATAGCGCTCTAAGGGAACCTTATGTCAAATTTATGATCGAATATGAATCATTAGGTCATATGTCTAAGGTTACCGAATCATCATCAGAACATATTCAGTTCTTTTTACCCCACCATGGTGTATTAAAAGAAGAATCTTTAAGTACAAAGTTGAGAGTAGTCTTTGATGGGTCATTTCCTTCTTCTACAGGGTGTGCCATTAATGATCTTCAAATGGTCGGCCCTACTATTCAAAATTACCTTTTTCAAATTCTTATTAGATTTAGAGAACATAGGTATGTAGTAAGTGCTGATATTTGTAAAATGTATCGCCAAATTTTAGTAAATCCCTCTCAACGATGTCTTCAGC